ATATATATAATTTTTTTTAATTTGTTAGAATTTAAACGTTGAGTATATGATTAGAGAAGTGTTGTTCCGGTTGTAGCATTCAATAAGTTCGCGGAAGCATGTCTTGTTGTAGCTTCTTTATTTTTCACATAGTGGCGAGACACGATAGCAATTTTGCTTGCACCGGAAGAAGGCGGGATCATCAAAACAATGAAGCGAAACACAGGGCTATGGGTACAACAAAATTTACAGACATAACATACAATCCAAAGTCGAGTTTAATTACCTCTTAACTCGATCTATTGCGTATAAATGTATACATTTTCACTGTAAAAATATATGTATAAATGTATAAAAAGTGAAAAAAATACATGAGGTAGGATACCAATTTTGGCCTACCAAGTTTAGACCATTATTTTGACTAATTCCTTTTTTTTTTTTTTTTTTGAGGCAATTAAAATTGTAAAAAATAATAGTTCAGACTTAGAGGGCTCCCCTACTTTATACAGTTATATCCAGTAGTTTAATGTAGGTGGCCCATTATGGCCCATCAAATTTGGACTATTATTTTGACCAATTTTTTTGGGTTGGAGTGGAATTGGTCAAAATAATAATCCAGAATTGTGGTCCTTAATGGTATTCCCTTCCTTATATGTTATACAGTAGTTTACAGCTATATTTCAGTGATTATACATGCTAATGTAATATTGAATAATAGTTTAAAAATTTCCTAATTTCTTACCCATTATATAAACTTATTTATTAAAAAGTTTACAGTAAAAAGTTTCGATTATTTAAATGTTTTTTATACATTACGAAGAGACAATAGAGAATTTAAACTATTTTATTTAGCATATTTAGAATATCTTATATTAATCTTAAGGTCACCTTTCACACGGTTGCGGCTGGAAGAATATGACCTTGGTCACGGCAAACGAACAGCTAAGTAGCCATGTGACACAGACGACTAGTTCTATAATTTGTGCTGCTTCGAAGAGTGTGGTTTATTCACAATCATACGAAGATGATTCTATATACTGCGCAAGTATTGCGCGTGCATTTTATATGGCCTTATGCCAACAAGACAGAAAACACAACGAAGAATTAAAAAAAAAAAACTACTCGTATATCTATACAATTGTACATTTATAAAATAAGTATTTTATGATATAATACGTCTTCGTAGAATTGTAATTTTATTATAAAAAAGAAAATACAGTTATTCAATATATAATAAAATAACTTTATACACTGGAAACGAATAGCCAGTGTTTAATTTAAGTAATAATATACCATACAATAAGTGCATTTTTATTATAAAATTATAAATAAAAGAAAATGTAAAAAAAATGTTTTAAATACTGTATAGAATAAACTTTCCTCTTAATTTTATAAAAAAAATTAATAATAATTTTTTAAATTACTAAATGAGAATTTAAAGAGAATTTAAGCTTTCGTTATTGACGCCACGCCAAGTTTTGTATTTAAAAAAATTAATAATTACAGTCGACCCCCCCCATAACACGGGTTCCTATAGTTCGGATTCCTATATCACGGAGAAAAAATTGCAACAGTATTCGTACAAGCATGCTAAAAAAACTCCTATAATTCGGTAAAACGTCATCGTCGACTCTTGTCGCGACAGGATTGCACAAACCGTTGAGTTTAAATGAGCAGCGGACTTACTAAAAACCATTTATTATTTAACATTCATAAAAATTATATTTATATTAATGATGTCTCTAAAGTTCAGCGAATTTTTCGCAAAAAAATAATTTATCGGGAAGCACGCGAGCGCCATTCGATGACAATCTCCACGACGAAAACAAGCTTAAGCAACGGCGTAGTCAAACGGTGCACACTCGGTAAGTAATCCTACAATTTTTTGTTTATAGCATAGTTTATATGGATTATTTCCAAAAAATTATACGTGTTTTCGAAATGTTGAGTCGAATTAGTCTAGAATCGATTAATTTTATGGAAGAAACCTTTCAAACAGCCGTAGTCCGTAAACTGCATACGTGCCGAGCTGTGATTGACTGGATTCATAAAACTCGGAACGTATCTACCGTGTTATAAGGGGGTCGACTGTATTTTAAAATATTTATTTATAATTTACACCAAATTATGTAAGACATAATTTTATATATAATTCATTATTATTTACTTATTTTAAATAAAAATCTGTAAAGATGTGTGATGATTACCCACTAAACAAGCACAAACCCTTGCAATAAATAAATAAAAAAAATAACAATTAAAAACATTTACTAAATGACAATTAACTTACACGATTAAATACAGCATTTAAACGTCTTCGCATTAAAATAATAATTAATAAATTTCTAGATATTAATTATATTTTTGTTTTTTTTCTAGAATCTTGAATAATTACACGGAGTCGAGCATGATCACCCAATTCATTAACTTATGCACCAGCTAGTGACAAACTTGACCTTTGTGACGTATCTGAGCACGCAAATCGTTGACCCACAACATCCGGGATCGTGCCCAACATCTTAACTCTCTTTTAATGACCGGGATGTCAACGTAACCTTCTGCACAACTAGGTCAAAGGTCGGTGACAGTAATATAGTATCATTTTAAAGAAAAAGGTGTGATGTACTTTTTTTTAAAATATTTTAAATTGGAGCTGTTAATGAGAGTTTCTCTTATCTTTTTTTTTTAAATTTATTTTTACAGTAATTTTTTTTAACTTGTATACAAAAAATAATGCATTTAAATTATGCTTAATGAGAGTAATTCGTCGCCCTTTTTTTGACTTTTAAGCTAATTTTAAAAAATATTTAACAACTTAAACAGTATAAATCTGTAAATTTTTACATTTAATGTTTTATATTAAAAATTGTTGAGAAATTTACATATTTTACATTAAAAAGTTTATATTTATAACCTTTATTTAGTGACTATATATGTTTAAAATTTAAATTACAGTCAAATCTCTGAATAGCGGCCACTTACAGGAACGTCATTAAAAATGGACGTTGTATGGAGGTTATTTTCCGTTATTAGAGGTTCGACTGTATACGTGAAATTATCAATAAATAAAAATGAATATTTATATAATAATTGAAATAAATTATATTTAATAATAAAACAAAGGATACAAGTTTAATAATGTACTTGTTATACTTGGATTGTTCTAAGTATAGCTCAATCATCCAATGCAATATAAAATAGTTTAAAGGAGTTATTATATGCGTTAAAGTGCATAAAACAATAAAATTTTTAATCTATTTTTATTATTTATTGATTGAATTTATATATTAAAAACATTCACATTGATTTAAAAATTACAAATTTTTATTTAGCGCTACCATTGGTGCTGAACCGGGTGTGGCGATAAACTGAAGAATCTCATATACACAGTCACGTGATATAAACACAAGAGAGTTTGAAAGTCACGTGATTTACTGATAAAGGCTCTTTAATATTTATAGAAAAAATCCGTCTGCGAGCATTCTTCAACACTTTACGAGGGTGGTACTATTTAAGAAGGCGTTATATCGAGTTTAGAGTGCTTTTTTAAGGAGAAAAGCGCATATTTATATTTGCTTTATTCTCTATTCACGATATTNTTAAAAAATTAAGTATTTTAAAATGATTGAATGAAATTAAATAATAAACGAAATTGAAATTTATAAATTACAATTATTATTATTATTGTTTTTAGAGGGTAGAAACTACTCAGGCAAGAAAGGAGATGAGTAAGAGGAATAAGATTCAATTAGGATACTGAGCAGATAGGGAAAATAAGAAAAATATGAAAAATTAAATCAAAATTTCCCTATTGTCTTCAGTGTCTCAAAACATAAAGATAGAATGACTTTAGTGACTTCTAGTTTGCAGGCACAGATCAACACAACTCTTTATCTCTACTGTATAACGCGAATTTAAACAGATAAAATTCGAATAATAATATTTAAATAGTCTATTAAATAAACTATAAATAACAGCAGTAAAATATTAAAAAATACATATATATTTAGAAACATTTAAAAGAAGAAAATTATAATAAGATATAATTTAAATTGATACAAGTATGCAGTTATTTGAATATCTTAATCAAATATTCATGTATTCCCAGTAGTGAATGGCGTGATTATAATGAAACTACATTAACAACATTTATACAACATACGTTTTATTGCAATAGTATAAAATAGCAGTTATTATAAAGCTATTATAAGTACAACAAAGGCTAGACATGAATGGAATATTAATAAACTCAAGAATTTAAAAATATATTTTATAGAATTAATTAAAAAATATATATATTCGTGTAATCCTAGAGTCTTATCAATAACAAAAACGACATTAATAATTACACATATATGTAAGTTATATATATAAAAAAAAATAACAATTAAAAACATTTACTAAATGACAATTAACTTACACGATTAAATACAGCATTTAAACGTCTTCGCATTAAAATAATAATTAATAAATTTCTAGATATTAATTATATTTTTGTTTTTTTTCTAGAATCTTGAATAATTACACGGAGTCGAGCATGATCACCCAATTCATTAACTTATGCACCA